TGAATTCAAATCAACTCAATTTAATTAAATTTGATTCAATTTAATTTTATTCAATTGAATTCAATTTGACTTATTTATTTCAATTTGAATTACATCAAGTGTCAAACGTGATGGCGAGCCCGCTCCCATGCTAATAAACTCATTTTCAATATAACCCCCACTACAGCTCATGTAAGACATACAAATGATCTGTACAGAGGCGTATCATTACTTGTCCTCCAATGCTGTTGGCAGTGTCTGAATGATTTGTGTTGCTTCTGAAAAAATGTCATCGCCTAATAAAAAACCAGTAATCAAGAGTGTATCATTATATAACTTTTTAATGTACTGTACTACCTCTAATTCTAAATAAAATATGAAAAAAAATTACAGAGAAGTCATGTTCCATTTGCTCCCCTATTTAAAACTAATTATAGTACGACACTGTCCGGAAAGGGGCTTATCGTAATCCAATAGGAATTTAGTTGGCGCTTACTATAAATCATTTCAATTTAATTTGATTCATTTTCATTTCATTCAAATGAAATATATTTTTAAATGAACAAACAGAACTTCTTATAAACAAAAAGAAAACCGAAATGAAATAGATTCACTCAATTTTAGGTTTGTTCGATTACTCCGACTGAAGAAATGGTAACCTAGCAACCTCCACTATCAACTGTTGGCAGGAACATTCAATTGATATATGTACCAGAAATAAAATGATTTCGAATGGAACAAGTCAGAATACGAGTATTTTAGACAAAAAGTCGAGTAAGTTTCTTGAGAATACGGCGGCGAGGTATCTGTTATTTATAAAATAACATATTTCAGTCGAGAAAGTGAAAGTTTCCGAGAAGTTTCCACCCCTGGAAAAATTCAACTGGTTGATCCATTTACAACACGTAAGGGGTGAACTAGAGGGGTGCAAAAGTCTGATAAAGCGGGAACTCGAGAGAAGCAATGGCAGAAATGAATTTGCTCTCCATAAACAAGTGAGAATATTTATAGTCGTTATCAGTTATTTAGCAACTCACGATTAATGTCAGAGGCACGTTTAATTTTGGATGTTATAAAAAAGTGGAGTGACTAATTTTTTGTACAACTATCATTTAGAATGACATTTTTATTGGTTGTCAAGAGTATTGACAACCAATGATGTTCACAAAGTAGTGTGTTAGCTACTTTATAGCAATTTTTTTCGACTAAATAGCAATAAACAAAACATAATTATGGATTGAAGAAATTATGACCAACAATCAAGATGAATACAAAAATTCAGTTGTTTTTCAACAGAGTACTGCACAGGTCTGTACCAGATTGATTCGATCAGAGATACTCAGGCATGTGGATTAGAAGGCTCGGTCCACTGAAATATCCTGCTCGTTCTCCAGATTTTACTTCTTTCGATTTTTCTCTTTGGGGCTGGATCGAATCGTTTATGTTATGCAACCGGGGACAATGCGGGAACTTAGAGACGGAATGACCGAAACTTGGTACCAACAAGTTCGAAACAGTTTTATCGTCAGGGCGTTCGAAGAGAACATTTGATAAATTGGTTAAGGCTTTCGCGGCCAAGATTTCCAGTGTTACTATCTTCATTCGGGTGTTTCGCCAGCACGGGTTGTTGGCTTCTTCAGAAGTTCATTCATCTTGATGATTCGCCGATGACTGGTGATTTTTAGTCCGTAGGTTGTATTTATGTTGATTCAGGTAGGCCGCCTTTCTTGTTTCATTGTTGCTATAGGCCCAAGTGTTACCTGAGTCAACATAAATACAACCTTCGGAATAGAAATCACCAGTCATCGGCGAATCATCAAGATGAATGAACCTCTGAAGAAGCCAGCCACTCGTGCTGACGAAACGTTAGTTTCAAACATTAGTTCCAAAGTACGACGACCTACAAACCCAAATGAAAACAGTAATACTGAAGATTTCCAACATTGCTCAAATGATTTCATTATAGTAGGGGAGCCCACGATGCAAAATGGGGATTTACTCGAGCGTCATAGAGACATATTAGGTTGCAAAGCTTAGATGATAAGAAGAAAAAAATGTTATATAATATACACCTTTGCATCGGTGGGAAAAGCGGCTATAGATTTTTAAATATGTAAAAAATACTATTGCATGGACATATTCGAGCGCGTCAGATATTGATAGCATCAATGTCCTACGTATTTTTNATAAACGAACCCAAGCAATAAGAAAGAAGCCCACCATCAATGCAATGATACCGGATATCCGAACCTCGATCAATTCGAGGCCTGTTGAAAAAATAAGGTAAATGTTCAAATTTCGTGGGCAACGTACATTCAATAAGCGATTTTTTTATGTTGCTACACTTGTCTCGAACAAGTGTTCATAAATAAAGCTGTTTAGCATGTTTAGTTTGTTGGTAAGAGGCATAAAACTTCGAAGTGTTTTGCGTGTTCGGCGATATTTTGCTATCGAAAATGATAGATCAAACAATTTACATCAAAATTTGTGTGAAAAATGGAACTGAGTAGTCAAAAACACTTGAAAATTTGTCAGTGGCATACGGTGATTGTACTCTGTCAGAATTTTTTTACCCAAGTGTACAAGCTCTTCGCAGAAGGTCGGGAAGATGTGAATGACGACGCTTGCCCTGGACGCCCCAGCACATGAACAACCAATGAAAATGTTGAGCGAGTGAAGAAAATTATTATGAAGAATTGTCGAATCACTACTAGGGAACTTGATGAGGATGTCGGCATATCGGTTGGCTCATGCCATTTGATTTTTTCGTAAATTTTAGGCATGAAGTGTGTGGCAGCGAAGTTTGTTCAAATTTCAGAATTTTGACCAAAAAAACTTCGCATGAGCATCCCTCAATAATGTTGAATGATGTCAACATCAATGCCCAGATTTGCCTGAGAGGGTCATAGCTGGTAATGAATCATGGGTATATGGTTATGACATCGAAACCAAAATCAAATCGTCTCAATGGAAGAGCCTAGGAGAGCCAATACCAATCAAATGTCAAGGTTTTGCTCACTGTTTTCTTCGATTAACGTGGTGTAGTGCATCAGGAGTTTTTGCCACATGGTCGTACGGTCAATAGGGAGTATTATCTTGGAGTTATGCGCCGCTTGTGAGAAGCAATACAAAGAAAACGTCTGGCATTGTGGAAAAACCATTTATGGCTTTTGCATCACGATACTGTACCTGCTCACTCTTCATTGCTTGTTCGTATATTTTGGATAAAAACAACATCGTGATCCTCAGCCACATTATTCACCAGATTTGGCCCACTGCAACTTTTTTTGTTCCCAAAATTGAAGATACCTATGAGAGGATGGCGTTTTGCGACGATTGAGAAGATATAAACCGAATCGCTGAGAGAGTTCAAGTAGGTATCTGTCTATATCTGTAGAGTAGGGAGGGTGAGTGTAGGCCCACAGCACATAGACCGAATGTGACCCATTGTACATCCTCCCAAGGAGTTGTCCTCCTAAGTCATCGTCCACCCTGTCCTTTCCAGGAAGGTGAACAGGTCACTGGGAGACATCTCCTTTATATCGGCAGGTGTAGGCCAAGATTCGTCGAACACACACCCTCTTATTGACGATAACTCCGGGCACTCGCATAGGACATGCCTGACAGTCTCATCTTCCTGATCACTCATCCTGCATAGCTGGGGCTATAATGGGGCTATAATGGGCCTACTAGCTGGGGCTATAATGGAGGTGTTTCCTTAGTTGTCAGTGGCCAGTCAAAAATCCTACTGCGGCCATTAACGCAACCTCCTCAACGTATAGGCCCAGAGGGGATAGACCAGTAATTAATTCCATTACCGCGGTTGGTGTTGTTCTCTTGGCTCCTGTGATGTTTAAACAAGCCAGTCGCTGTATTTGATACAAGCGGTTGCTTGTAGAACTTTCGGTCCCCATGCAATGGCTCCGTACGTTAACATAAATCTCATTATTGCAATGTAGATCTAGGTGACCACACGAGGTGAAAGACCCGACCCGACATTGCTCATAAGCCACATATGCTCTTTTTGCTCTACTCTGTATGTGAGAGTTTCATGTTAGCTTCCTTTCGAGGATAGTACCGAGGTATTTCACCGCTTCAGAGAAGTTCAGTTTGTTTTTGAAGATTTCGGGAGGTTTTAAGTCAGATAAACCTTTTTCCAGGTAAAAAGGACTATCTCAGTCTTCTTGTGATTGATCGACAGTGAGTGTTCCTTACACCATGTTTCTATTAATTTGAGCCTATCCTGCGCTCTATCGCACAGTGTGTTCATAAATTTGCCTGTCTGCAAAATAACTATGTCATCTGCATATACAATTGTGTAGAATCCATTATTGTTGAGATGATTAAACAGGGTATCCAGAACTATGTTCCAGAAAAGGGGTGATAAGGATTGGAAAAACATCTGAATTGCGCTGTGAGGATAACTTGAGAACTGTGTCTATTGTCTCATCGCCTTTGACAATATTTACGTCAATTATAAAAACCTACAGACTTATGTCAACAAACCCCAAAAATAATTTTGACACAGTTACCTTCTTCATTCTTTTGAACTCTTTTTATTGAATTTGCTTCTCAAATTATTGATATGATATCCTTGTGAAAGAAAATGTATACAGTGCTATTATTCCTTCATTTCTCTGTTACGTTACGCCAATGGCTTGATTGCACCCAACATTATTTGATTGAAAAGTTCCTGTTGATGTACACTATAATGAAATTCCTGCAACGGAATAACAAAATAGGTCGTTCCGAAGCGTATTTTACTCCGGGGACATTCATTGTGGAATTTTTGGATAACAAAATATCAATCCCAGCTGATATTGAACGAAACTTCTCATGATTGAGACAGGGAAATTTTGAAAGGGTAATTTCAACGCATAGTTTGGTCGCGATTTTCCCATGGCAATGTCACCGCGGAAACTCATGAATGTTTTTGTGGAATTTATCACTTGCAATATTGGAATTTTCTTTTTATAGGGTAAAATATTTCGGGAGGAAGGAAAACTACAGGAGGCACTGAATTCTTTTCAGGCGTGTCTGAGATTGAATCCAGAGAACATCGAAAATTTGAAAGAAGCTGGAAAATGCTTGTAAGTAGTGAACCAACGAAACAATTAATGATTTTGTAAAACCTAGTAGACAGTTTGTCTACTAGGTTTTACCGCAATCCGCAATCCTCAGACAGAATGATTCTTATATTTGAAAATTTTTTCAATAACATTTTTTAACCTTGTCTCAACTTCCTGCCCTACAGATCAACCCCTTCATAAGTGTATAATGAAAAGGAGAATTGAGTTTTTGAACAATCAATACAACTATCTATTCATTTTTTTATTTCTTTTATGCCAATTCGAAGTAAAAACATTTTGATTAGCGAATATTTCATTTTAATTTTTTTTCACAAAAATGTTTACCTTGTTAGTACCCCTAAACATTGGCTTCATGTAAAATTGTAATCAGCTGTGAAGTTAGGGGCGCAGAAATATTTTTGGTTTAGCAGAAAATGCCGAGTTAGAAATGAGTTTATTTTGACGCACTATTATTAACATCACTCCAGCTAGCCAAGGCATTGTTGAAAATCAAGCCCTGAAGAAAATAACGCCGGCCGCCACTGGTAGCCATAAACCAATTGTGACGTGGCTAAGAGCGCGCCCAGTCCTACCGAAGTTTCGCGAAAGTTCGATGTTTGCTGCATTTCTAGACGTGGCGAGAATAATGCCCTCGGCTTTAATGGAATTCCAAAGAATTTTCCAGCGCTTTCGATTGCCAAATATAAACGCGATCCACTCGCCTATCAAGCCAGTCAAGTGGAAGTGACAATGCAATACGCGGAGCGATCTAGTAAGGCCATATACATTTGAGTAATAATTGGAGTTTCAATTGAAGTATTTTGTTGTATTGATTGTAAGCTCAACCCCTTCTATAAGCAAAGTGGCAGAACGAGTAAACTTGAAAAGACTAGAAGACCAAACCAACGAACTAGGAATCTTGCCAGATGAAGAGTTTGGTTTGAGATCCGAACAATCGACAGAGTTGCAAGTCCTGGGGGTGGTTGACTATGCGATAGAATGTTTCAACCTGGGCAAAGGATACCACACCGGACCGATATTCCTAGACGTCTCCAAGGCGTTCGACAGAGTTTCACCTACAACGGACAAGAAATTTCAACGAAGCGAAATACCTGGGTGTTCGGAAAACCAGCAACATTTCAATTTTCAGTTCGATGTCTTCATCGCGAGATTGAGCATTCAAAGTTTTTTGTTTATGGGTTTTTTATGACTTACCAAAAAGAAGATTTAGTGTTGTTAATGATTTTTGAAGTTGAATCGCAACCGTTTTGAAAACGATATAATCAGTTCGTTCGCTATCTCCTCGATATACCTCTATTTATCCCTTTTGTGAATGTTGTGTCAACGAGTATAACCCAGAACAGCTTATCCAAGAGGAAAACTCCAACTATCAGGTAACTTTGATGCTCTCGTATCGAAATTAATTACAATTATAATTACAGTCCACTGATAACGCCACTTATGTACTTTCGCTATATCCTTTGTATTTTTTAACGTACATTTTTTATGGTCCTTCGAGCCGGATTACTTTGTTTTCTGTTGAAAAAAGTTGCCAGTTTTTAATAAATTCTGCATTCTTGTCATCTGAATTGTATTATTGCATCGCATTTAAAACTCTCATTTTGAATAGTTCGCATAGTTTTCGCATTTTTGTTTCTTAGAATCAACATACGCCTTAAATTGCCGCTAAACATAGTTGCCAAGTGTTCCTAGAAATATCATTGCTGTTTAAGATTATCAAAACAACAAATATATATCGGCTGGAGTTCAACATCACTGTGTTTTGAATTTTAGTCTATCTACCTTGAATGAATATTAAATATTTCGCTATTATTACTAGGTGCGTTAACAATTCAAAATGGCAAATAAGTTGAAGTAAGCACGTTTATACAGAAATACTCATTTGAATGAAGTTCATATTTTAAGTGATATTGCTAATTGACCTCGTACAGATAGATCTCTCCATAGCATTTTTCATGTTCGCTATGCTGAGTTGGATGAATTGAGACAAAAGTTTAATAAGCATCATCAAACCATACTATCTTTATTGCTCGCTGATCCAAAAGCGAATATGTCGGTCGAAGAAACAATATATGAAGGGTTTCGCTCAGAATATTATAATATAAAAAGTGTGTTTTTCAATTCATTTGAGCCAATGCCTTCAAATAAAGATAATTTCAGAACACAGTCAAGTACAGTTGAAGCTATACTAATAAACGCTTACATGCTCAAGCTCATTGGGGTCAAATTGAAAATTTTCCCAAGGTTAATTCAGCAAATCCTGGATCGATCAGGAAACTTTCAGATACGTTTTCAGAAAACTTAGCTGCTTTACAGACTTTGGGATTTCCAGTCGATAATTGGGATTTTATCATTGTTATGCTTATATTGCAACGATTGGATTCTAATCTTGAAGAAAAATTTAAATTAGAGCATGGTTCCACCGAAGTTCCTACATATAAGTTGTTGAAGGATTTTCTGAGTAAAGTATGTATCGCCCATGATACGTGTTCGTTTGCCACCACACCACCAAAACGGAATACTTCTATTAGTAAACCAGTGTCTAATTTTGCACGCACCAATTCTTTTCTTGTCAAACCTTCCGCTACTCAATGCCTATTATGTCGAGATAATCACGCTCTTTATCACTGCAAGTTATTCTTGGAGAAAACTCCCACAGACACCTTCAACTTCAGCAAAATTTTTCACTTGTGTTTCAATTGTTTGAGTAACTTGCATACGGTGAATAATTGTAAATCATCAAATACTTGTTCCAAATGTAGGAGACGACATCATAGTGTCTTGCATTTTGAAAATACACCGGAAAGTACTACCATTTCGCCTTCAGTAGAGCGCTCTACCCCTACGTCGTCGTCGAATCAAGAATCTTCGAATAAAATTAATAATTCTAAGTCCATATCGATGCTTGGTTCTGGAGTATTTGAAAATAGTATTGTTTCATTGTCTACAGCCATTGTAGAGGTACGTGATTGTTGGGGATCGTTTCAGCGAATGAGATGTCTTCTTGACCCATGAAGTATGAGTTCTTCCGTAACTCAACGGTCAGTGAAGCGCTTGGGATTAAGGACTTCTAAGTCTACGATCGAAGTGAGGGGTCTCGGATCTATGCACACCTCATCAAATCTTGGAGTAGTTACTATAACTATTTGTCCAAAAGAATCTTATAATTCTCTGTTTGCAATAGATGCATCAGACATTTTAGAAAAAATCTGCGATCCAATGCCTTTATTAAAAATTTGTATTGAAAAATGCCCATTTATTGTGAATATGAATTTAGCTGATGGGACATTTGGTATTCCTGGAGAGATAGATATTTTGCTTGGAGCTGATATTTTCTCAGAAATATTGTTGGTTGGTCACATCTCAGGTATCGCTGGGTCGCTACATGCTCTTAGTACTGTTTTTGGATATATACTGATGGGAAAAGTTAACGTCACTCCTCATTCAACAATCAGGTCATTTTTGTGTACCCCCAATAATTCTTTGGATAACACTTTGAGACAATTTTGGGAAATGGAGAATATTTCGCACAAGCCATGTCTTTTGCGTGATGAGATTTTGTGTGATCAAATATTTTCGCGTACATGCACTAGAACTGAAACAGGACGCTTTTGTGTACGCTTGCCTTTTCGCGATTCTCCTGTTTTTCGTGGATCACGATCGCTAGCCTTGAATCGATTTCATTCCTTAGAACGCAATGCAGAATATTCGGATTTCATGAAAGAATACTTAACATTGGAACATATGTAACCAGTTCCAAGGAATGAAAGATTCACTGTTGCCTCATATTATATTCCACATCATTGTGTACTGAAACCTGATAGTTTGAGCACTCGCTTGCGAGTTGTTTTCAACGCATCCGCTAAACTACCAGGACAAACTTCTTCAAATGATCATATTCTTACTGGTAAGAAGTTACAAAAGGATATTTGTTCAATATTGTTGAAATTTCATCTTCATAAATTTGTAATATGCGCAGATAAAAATGATGTACCGTATGATATTTTTGAACCCCGCCCAGAGAGACTTTCATATAATTTTGTGGGATTCTCTCCACAAAAGATTTACCCCCTCGCACTTATCTCATGATCTGATTTCCTTCACAGACAAATCGGAGGATACCCAGTTGAAACTGGGATTGCAATGGTATCCTGTTATTGATTCTTTCTCTTTTTCTATAAAGATACTTGACAAGCCTCTTACAAAACGCACAATGTTATCCGATATCTATTGAATCTTGTAGTTATCTCTTGTATAGTTTAGTGATTTTTGTAATAAAAGCCGGCCAAATCACTTGGCGCCCATTTTGATTAGAAATCTTTTATTTTATTGGTAATAACATCTTTGACCCACGGCCCTGTTGAATGTTTCGAGTTGGTAACTAAACCGACCGTACTTAAACCAAAACAAAAGTAACTACGTTATATCTGGAAATTAATAAACCTACGGGTAAACGTAATAAGGTTTTTTGGTTCCAGTAACTTTTTTCACGAAGCATCTCATGCAACGCCTATGGATATTAGGAGTGGATTGGGATCAAGCCCCTGATGAAATCACTTCCAATATATGGGCTCAATACCGGTCTGAATTGAATCTATTGTCGTCGATACAAATACCACGCCTCATATTAACACCAGTTTATTTTTCATATGAACTGCATGGTTTTGGAGATGCAAGTCAGAAGGGGTACGCTTCTTTTCTATATATTAGAGCTTTACGTGGAACTGACGTTTCAACCTGTTTCATTTGTGCCAAAAGTAAGGTTGCGCCCATTAAACGTATCAGTATCCCAAAATTAGAGCTTTGTGGAGGTGTTCTTCTATCCAAACTAATGTCCTATGTTTCGAAAATTTACAAAAAGAATTTGGTTTTCTCTCAAATATGCGCTTGGTCAGATTCGTAAGTTGCTTTAGCTTGGATGTCCTCGTCTCCTCACAGGTGGAAAACTTTTGTAGCAAATCGTGTCACGTTTATTCAAGAAATACTTCCCACAGCACGTT